CCCAGCCACGTGGGCCCCTTGCGGGTTTGGTGCCTTCTGCCTTTGCTCTGCCTCCTCCTGACTGAAGTCTCCTCTCCCACCAGGTGGGGGAGTATCACAGGGGAGAAGTATGCTGAGCTTGTCAGCAAAACGCTGTCTGTTACCCACATGTGAAACAATCCCAACCTGATTCTCGTCTGTGGTTCAGACGATGTAAGGGTTGCAATCAAGCTGCAGTGTGTTTTTTTCTCAGGAGACATACTTTTGCAATCCCAACACAACTTAGAAAGAAGTGCTTCTTGGAGATTTTACCAACAGTCACTGGTGTAACTAGACACTAAGCTTGAAACACCACAGATGGTGTACAGCACGCATCTGCATATGGATAGCACACTAACGAACTTAGGACTTCTAGAAAAGTGAGCTCAAATAAAAGTTTAATAAGGAATCCCTCACGCGGCCACTTGGCAGTGGTAGCCACCTGGTTACAAACAGGTCAGCGAGGTTTACATGACCGGGAACAGCACCGCCACTTATTAGACAAGAGAAATCACAAGATGAGGTGGAGATATATGTATTTTCAGCTAGCCCACGCCAGCTCTAAGTCTCTGCGCATAGAAGCAAACACGCAAAAGGATATCTGAAGAGTGGGCTCACAGCCTCCGTAACTGACAGAGCCAAATAGACACAAACTGGCCGTACCTGACACTTCGCTCCGGGCTCCTGGTTCCTCTTGTCCAGTGGGAAGAGAAAATCTTCGCAGAAAATGGAAAATTATATTCTCACTTGATGGAGGCAACATTCTCTGTTCCCCCCAACATGAGTCAATGGCTTAGTCTGTTTGTTTGGCGGTTGGGGGGTGGTGTCGACGTTCAGCGTGGGCTAGAGTCGTCAACGACACCTGGAAGCGTGCCCATGGCGTCAAAACGGTTTGTTTAACTGGCAGTGGCTTAGTGGCTCCAGAGACCGAGAAACAAATCGGGGAGACTTTCTCCTCTCCCCCCACCCCCACCCCGCGACGCTGTGCAGTAGTCCTCCGGAAACTTGTTGGTTAAATATAATGGTTTTGTACCCCACCGTCCCAGGGGGAGTCTTGTCGGTATCTGGCCCCAGAGACGGCCGGCGCGCCCGGATTCCCCCTCTGCCGTGTGTCCCCTGCGTGGCCAGGAGGCGCTGGACGACCGGCTCTTTGAAGGCTGGCGGCCCCTCGGTCTCTGCGCCCGCCCTGCTCCCCCGCCGGCCGCCCGCCCGCGGCGGGACTCCCCGGTTCCCACGCGGTCCCCCAACCGCCGGCGCGCTTCCCAGGAGAGGATTGGCCGCGGCTCTGGGCCAATGGCGCGCGCCGCCGCAGCATCCTGGCTGGCCCAGCCGCTGGGCCTGGGGGCCAGGGCCCTGGAGGTGGAAGCTGGAGGGCTTATGCTGACTTGCGTTTCAAACGCGGATAACAAACAGCCCCAGCTCCTTTGATCCTTGTGTGGGACTCTGTGGTCGGCTACACTCATCCAATTCCCTAATTCCTCAGGGATTGTTGCGGGGATGCCTGGCCAGGCCGGGCACAGGCAGATTCGGTGGCGGCTTGTTCATTTCCAGGGTGGGCTCCTCTATCTGTTGACAGGTGGGCTTTGGGCGGAAGGGTTTATTCTGGAAACTGCCTCATCACGAGATGATGAGGCTCCTTGAATTTCAAGTGTGAAGACCGAAAGTCAACAGAGGAGTTTGGATCAGCTGCGACTTGAATTGCCCTCCTCGCCCCATTCGAGGAGGCCTTCTTGCTACAGGGATTTTCAAAGCCAGATGTAAACACTACTCTTTCTGCTTTGTTCGCATTCACCTCTCTCCTGTCTACCCTTCACCTTCTAGAGCAGCGGTTCTCAACCTGTGGGTCACAACCCCTTTTAGGGTCCAGCGACCCTTTCACAGGGGTCCCCTAAGACCATCAAAAACCCACACATTTCCGAGGGTCTTAGCAACCGAGAAACCGCTCCTCTATCGGTCTCCAGGTGGGTCTGCCCACATGCAGATAGGCCCACCTTCCAGTACCTGGTGTGAAGACTGTTACCCATGCTACCCCATGCTTCAAGGCAAAATTTCATTGATTTGTCATTAGAAATTAATATTTCACAATGTAGAATTACATATTGTTTTGTGATGAATCACTATGCTCTCAGGATGTTCAATTGGTAACAGTGATAACACATCCGCATATCAGATATTTACATCATGATTCATAACAGTAGCAAAATAACAGTGATGAAGTAGCAACAAAAATGATTTTATGTCTGGGGTCACCACCACACGAAAAGGTTGCCGTATTAGGAAGATTGAGAACCACTGCTCTGAGGCAGAGCTGCGCTTCTTGCCGTTTAGACAATAAAGGTGCCTGGCATCTTAGACCAGGCATTCAGCATTTTGATGGACAAACACTATATTAACATAACAAAAAATACTTCAACCTTCTCCCCCTAGGTCCACCCTTCAAGTTCTCTGCACCACTAATAACAGCCGAGCCTAGGAGGAAAGGCCTGGCACAGCCTACTTTTGCAAAGTAGACTGTGTATGACCAAGAATGGCCTACCCTGTCTGATCTAGAAGCTCCGTACAACAAAATCAACTCACCTGCAAGAGTTTGGGTTGTGCTATCGATATATTTAATGCAGTTAGCTGCAACAGCTTAAGGCAATGGTTCTCAAAACGTGATTCCAAGGGCAACAGAATTAGCAGCACTTGGGGACCTGTTGAATGCCGTTGACTTCACTCTAACTCATGATGACCCCATGTGATAGAGTACAGGTGGCACATAGGTGCTTTTATTTACTTACTTACATGTTTATGTAGTTTCTTTTTTATTTACTTACTTGTTTATTTATTCATTCATTCATTTAGTGCTATCACTTTACGGCAGCAGAGGCTAGATCTTTCTCCACAGAGCTACTGAGTGGGTTCAAACCATTAGCTTTTGGGTGATCAGTCACATACTTAATGATTGCACACAGGGATTCCTGGGGAACTTGTTAAAAACCCAGACTCTCAGACTGTACCTTAGACTTACTGACTCTGAAACCCTAGGGATGGGCTTACAGATCTGTGTTTTACATACTTTCTAGGAATTCAGAAGGAGCTAAAGTTTGAGAATTGCTTCAGTTCAGGAAATACGTCTCGTAATGGCAGCCGCTTGTGTATTGAAAGTTTACCCTGTGACGAGTATCATTATAAACCCGTTACAAGTTTTACCTTGTTGCAACTTCACCGTAGTACCAAAAACCATCTGGAAGGAGTGAGATTTCATGTTCATGTCCTAGGTAAGACCCAGGTCATGCCCCTCGTAAGTAAAGAAGCCAGAGTTGACCCCAAACCCAGTCAGTCTGGCTCCACCGCCAAGAACATCGAACCGCAGAGTGAGGCCTGCTCCAATTACCCAAACATCAGGAGCACCTCCTGTTCAGCAGCTGAGCGCTCCAGTGATTCATAGCAGTAAGCACATTGGTCACCACCAGGCAATTACAGATCAGGGGCTCCGAAGTAATTCTGCAGGTCTTGTGGGATAGGAGCATGGTCTCAGCCCTGCAGCACAGACCTGATAAGTTCACAATTCGTATTTGATTTCCAAACAACACGCTCGGTTTTGGAAACATGGTGTCTCTGTGGGGCTCTGGTGTCCACCGCTTGCCGTCAACTTGTCAGCTCCGTGGCTTTGTAGTCTTTCATCAATTTCCAGCCAGGGT